TACGTCCCATGAATGAGATGGTTCATTATCTTGCCGGCTTTGCTCACGTGGTTCACGAAGATTCTCCGGTAATGGAGGCGGTTTTCCCCTAGACCAGGGGGACCACTACCTAAGGTCCACCAGGGATCTTCGTACCCATCATTTTCCATAACCTGACCGCTGGGATCAGGAGACATCTGAAAAATTTGAGGTCGTCGTTCGACGAATGACGTTGCCTGCAACTGGCCCTCTAACGCCTCCAGCCTCCTCGCAAGATCACGTCAGCTATTCCTGAGTCAACCTGAGGTCTAAGACCTCGCACTGGCGACACTCATTCATTATTTGCTTCACTAAAATCTCCATGCTCCTCTTAAGTGCACCCTTATCGTGATGATCATGCTCGGGGTCACTTGCTGATGCGTCCTGCTCGGAATCTGTAGATAAAGGAGTCGCTGTACCACGCTTTCTGATTCCCTCCAACTTAGCATCACATGCCGTTACATCCGCCTGCAAAGCCCCTACGGCTTCTTGTAAAAGCGAAAGAGTATGTTTTGCTGAATCCAGCTCTCTCATCATCCTCTGAACCTGGTCAACAATGTCTTGCGCCTGCGAAGCGGTTTCACAAGAGATGCCTGTTGAAGCTCATCGTTCGATGTGTAAGTTTTCCATCGACCGTCTTGCTGATGTTCAAATTGCTGTAACATACGTATCAAGTTGTCATGTCGCTGGTGCACTGTGCGGATCTGTTCATCGGTAGCAATAAAAAGGCTCTCATGCACTGAATGTTTCTGAAGCATAGCCTGTACCACCTGTTGCAGCTCTTGAGCTCTTGTCAAATCACGCAAAGCCTCGGCGACGCAGCGATACTAGTCAGTTGGCGAAGCAAGATGCCAAAGTCGTCTGTCGTCTGATGCTGCTGCGGCGTTGCTTAGATAACGTTTGGGCTACTCATAATCTGAAGCTGGTCTGGTGATTATGAGTCCATCACCATACTAAAGTGGGTTGGGGCCGGGGAGTTCATTACTTACAACCCTCACCTGATCCCCAAGCCTCTCGCCTTTCAGACCTGACACCTTGAAAACGACCCCGCCTGCAATATCAAGCTCCCAAGTGGACCCTAACATGCCCCACTCTCCCGAATTGGGAGAGATGGGGCTCGAGCTTATCAAACTCCTGCTTTTCGCTTGAATACTCACTTGAGCCATTTGGCAATTCTCACCAATTATCGCCGCTTCGACGTGCGTGTCATTCTTACACAGGGGCCATACTACTCGCCTTAGTGCGTATCATCTTTAGCGCAAGGGCCAAGCACACACCTTAGTACGTGTCATCCTTAGCAGGGGTCATGCGCACATTATCATTTAAAATATACGATATTATTATTATAAGTCTAATTATTTATTATTATATCTATTCTTACGACGAATAAGAAGAAATATTTATATATTAGTATCTATATCTAAAAAATAAAAATTTAATCTACTCATAAAGAAAACTAGAAAAATAATAAAAATACAAAATATTTTAAAAATAATTATAGAAGAATATTTTAATATAAATATATCTATAAATGTATAACCTAAATAAGAATTTCATTTAAAGAATTCGAATATATCCGATCTTATGAATATCTTCGAATATATATATCATTAGATAATAATTTTCAATCAAATCTTATATATTCAATACGAGAATTTATAAATTAAGCCTAAATATTTCTCATAAATATTTAAATATCAAAGATTATTTAAGATATGATATTCAAATATATCGACGACAGAATCTATAATATAAGACCTTCATTCTTCTTAATTTTTGAAAATGATATTTCTCATTCTAAATCTATGAACCTTTTATTGTTACCCAATAAATTTCCATAAATCTACAGAATGATGAAAAGTATTCCAAGAGTAGCTATCGGTCAGTTGTTCCTGTAGGGCGCGCCCACGAGTTGCAATGGCCAGGCGTTCTCGTACGCCTTGGGATCTATAAATGCCTCCAGCAGCAGCTTCACCTTGCACTCATGTCTGGAATCCTAATGTTTTGGGATTTGAAGCATGTTCTGCCCACGCATGTCTTTTCCGTGAGCACGCGCAGCCCCGAAGCTGGCTCTGTCTGCTGCACAATCGTGCAGAAACGGTGTCATAGGCAGCCCAAACCGGCTGGCTCACACCGTTTAATCGAAAGACGAGATATACAACTTTCCCTCTTGGAAAGCCATGAGCCCTTGTGCTCTTCCCAAAACCATACTCGCTCTCTCTCTCTCGAGTGCGATTCACCATAACTCGCCTCAAATATACGCATGCATTACTGGAGCCTGCGTCAAACGGCCCGGCACATCGGCCTTAGACGCCTTGTCTTCAGGGAAAACCGGTGCAGCCACACGTGTGTTTGGAGCAGCAAAAGAGCTGGATCTGATCCGACGCTTAAAATGGAAGGCACTGTCGGATGACGGAGTGATTTCTGTGGCAAGAAGTGACATGGAGCTTAACAACAAGTTGATGTCATAGATCGCCAGAGAATTCAAGACCTGTTGGAGTTCCAATCCATCCATCTGCACCAGCTGCGAAGCTGTGGTATGCAAGCTGCTGGACACCAGAACCGACGATGGCAATGTCTGCAAGTTGAAGACACACAACTCCTGCTGTCCGCCCAAGGCAGTCTGATAGAAGAGGGCAGCAGTCGTCATAATCAACAGCAATAACATCGAGAATCCAAGCAGGCCCATGACACAGCTACTGAAAGTATTCGCAAATTGCTGCATGATGCCCTCGACAGCTTCTACCTGAAGAGCGTTTGATACCACCAGCAGTATGATGCAAAGACCGATGAAGCCGTCCAGCACGTTGAGAAGCGGAACCTTCCATGGCCAAGACCGCACCTCGATGATCAAGAAGATCAGGAAGACCAGCATCACTGAAACAACCTGAACTGGCGGATAGTCTGTTGCCATTGCAATGGGAAGAGACATCAATGGACCCCTTGCCAACAAGAGCGCCCCGAACCACCAGCTGTCCAAGCGAAATCGTCCAAGCAAAAACCGAAATGCCTTGACTTTGCTGTGCTCTCCTGCGCTGCTCCATCTGGGCACCACACAAACGGCATAAGTACAGATGGAAAGGAAGCCGAGGACTCCGAAAAGTAGAAGCAGGGATCCTGCCACGACCATGAAGGTGTGATCCGTTGTGCCACATTGAATACCCGGATACTTCAACACACTGTACACGCCGTTGGGATGGCTGAAGCACGTCATCGGGGCGAGAGCAATCGTACTCATTGTGCTAAAGCCAACTTGCAGCATGGCACCGACGGTGCTCCAGGTTTTGCTCGCTTCCCATCTCCATTTTGAGGGCAACAGGCCGGAGAGTTTGCGGCAGATGAGCAGGTATAAGACGATAGCTGGGAAGAAGGAAGCTGAGGCGATGTAGCGCAAAGGCACAATGTTGCCTGCTAAACAGCTGAATCCCAAGCTGTCAATATCAAGGAGGAACACTTGCAGGAAAGCGTAGATGCCGGCGATGCCCTCCGGAAGAGCGACTGTCATCATTCCAATGATGCCGACGCTTTGCAGAGCCGTAATTGTCATTCCGAAAGCACAAGCTGTCGTGAAAAGCACTGAAGCTTTCGCAGTATTCTGCGAGGTCAGGGCATAATATGCTACGATGAGGCCGCTGCACACCATTGCAACACCTGCAATCCAGCCCAGCATCTGCAACGGCGAGCACCCCGTGCAGCCCTTCTCCTCGTCCCATGTCTTTCCTTCTTGGCAATAGGTGCAAGCGGTGCCCTGCAGTCCGCCAGCACAGCTCCCCGGCTTGCCACCCGGGCATCGTAGGTCTCCTATGCACCTGAACACTGCAAGAGGATCGTCTGCCTGGCTGTAGAAGTTCTCCAACAGCTTTGGAACAAACTGCTCACCAAGGGCGGAAGTGCCAGAGAGCAGGCTCTCCCGGCTGGCGAGTGCAGGACAGACTAAGCCTGCAGCTAGCAACAGATGCACTTAGGCGAAGGTACATGAACTCGACACAACATGATTTGAAGCATTGGCAGAACGGCCCAGTCCTTCTCCACACTCCACGCAACTCAAGTTGTCAATGCCGGACTCTACATTGATGAAGCCAGCCTTGCACCCGCAGTCTGCCAGGGAAACGGAACCGAAACCAAGCGTCGTGCCACCTGGACATTGACGGCACGTGGAGGAACCTCTTCGATCCTGGTAGAAGCCAATGTCACACCGAAGGCAGCTTTGACTGCCGGAGCTATTTTGATACTCACCCAACTGACATGGATCGCAGGAGAGCGCAGCGCCTGAAGGTTGGCTGGTGCCAGGCTCACAGGGCCTGCACTCATACGTGAGGCCTTGCTCATCATCCAGCCGCGATGAGAACCGTCCGGACTCACAAGCTCTGCATTCCAAGAAAGTTGAATCATTCCTGCTGCTTGCGAATTGCATGCGATCAGTGTCGTACAAGCCGAAGCCAGGAAAGCATTTTGTCTTGTCAGGCAACCTCTGCTGCGCAAGCTCGGCTTTCCATGTTTGCACGGTAGGGACTACCGCAAGCATGATACAGACCAACAAAGCTGCAAGTGGCAAAACTGTTTGGATTTGCCGAGGTCGAAACAAAAGTCCCGTTATGGAAGTCTAAGCATGTGGCGTTCGGCTTTGTGACAACTGGTGCTTGTAAGACTTACAAGCGATCCAAATGGTTGGAACATGCACGGGTTTGTTCAGGAGGTGAAGATTCTGCGAAGGACGGAAGAAAACAGGAATGCGCCTGGCGGGCTGGGTGGCAGGTGGCACGCGGCTCTGGGCGGGGCCCGTGGCCGTGGAGCTGGGGGTCGCGGGTTTGGATGGGTGGCACGCGGCTCTGAAGCTGGGCGGGGCCCACGGGTTGCACGCGTTTCCAGAAGCTGGGCCTACCTACCTACCCACCGACCGACCGACCTACCTAATTACCCGGCGGCCTTCAGACATTTGACGGACCTTCGCCCCACTTTGCCGAGGAACCAAGAGGCCCAAGACTCAGGATTCGATTGAAGCCACCGACCTCGGCTCGGCATCTGGCAAAGACCATGAAGATGCCGCGCCCTGCTGCTGCTCCTACTGCTGCTACGACTCTGCTGACTACTAGTTGCGAATAATACTGGTGCCAATACAGTATTCTACCGTACTAGTACTACGACGACTCCGACGACTACGACTGCTACCCCTGCTATTTCTCCATTCCTCCTACTCCAAATCCTACTCCTACTCTGCTACTGCTACTGCTACTGCTACTACTACTACTACTAGGCTAGCGCGCCCTGAGGCGCCTGGGCGTTTTATGACACACATCTCGCGCCACTAAGGGGATTAGCGTAATTTTCGCAAGCGCGAAAAAAGCAGGAAATTGCGCAACTAATTTGGGGCTGAACTTGGGTGGTTTTGCGGTTCATTGTTGGCATCTTAGTGTGTAAAGGTGGTGCTTGCTCTTCGGACAAGAAAGACCAGCAGGCTAGTACTCTGCATACCTACGCAGCTTTGAGGGCATTGCTTGGTTTTGTCTGTTTTATAGGATTATGATTCTTTTTGTTATTAGTAGTGCTATGACAGTTAACAGTATTATCAGTAGTGTTATCATTAGAATTAGTATAGGTAAAATTATTGCCACGGATACTAGAATTCGTAGTATTATTGGAAGTATTTCTGTTTCTCATGCGATATGTGTCTTGCTATGAATATTATTAAGGTACCTTCCTAAAGCCTTTCAGGGTCTCGCACAGACTGCTGCAAGCCTGCACGGCCTTTCATCCTACGCTCATAGATCCTAGTACAGGGTCCTTTGCGAGTTCCCTTAAATGATCCCTTGGTGGAGACCTGGACCTTTCAAGTCTGCTGCGTCTGCCTTTGTCGCTGCTCTTCGGACCCGTGGCCACAGGGAAGGATCACGAAGCGGGTGCGGACGGGGTCTCAAGGTTCGGGGCTTAGAGTTTCGGGTTTAGGCTTTTGGGCTCGGGGCTTAGGATTCTTGATGATTCTTGGGAAAGTTTCGGGCCCTGCCAAACCTATCATATCGGTTTTGCGACTGCGATCATCAGCATCATCATCATCATTGCTATATCATCATGAGAAGCATCA